ATGGTCATTTGACAGAAGAGGTATACATGCAAAGTCCCTAAAGGAATTCCTAACCCAGATGGTCTTGTTTGCAAGCTCAAAAGGTCATTGTATGGCTTAAAACAAGCATCTAGACAGTGGTATGCTAGATTGAATGCAGAATTGTTGTCTAAAGGGTTTATACAGTCATTTAATGACTATTCTCTGTTCTTGAAGAAGTCAGATTCTCACATAACAGTTGTAGCTGTTTATGTGGATGACATCATCATTACTGGGAGTCATGTTGCTGAAATATTGGAGCTAAAAGCTCATTTGCATAAAGTTTTCAGCATCAAGGATCTAGGAAAGTTAAACTTCTTTCTTGGTATAGAAGTCTGTCATGTTAGTCAAGGCATTATTTTGACTCAGAGGAAGTTTACAAAGGAGCTGTTACAGGACTGCAATCTTGATGTATCTAAGACTGCAAAGACTCCATTACCAGTCAGTGTGAAGTTATATGAAGATCTAGGTGATTTATGTCCCGATCCAGTTCATTACAGGTGTTTGGTTGGGAAATTGAATTTTCTCACTCACACTAGACCAGACATTTCCTATGCTGTTCAGACCTTGAGTCAATTTCTTCAGCAACCAAGATTGCCTCATCTTCATGCTCTTCAGCATGTTCTGAGGCATGTTCTGAGATACACTGCAGGCACTATTGGTCAAGGCATATTGCTACATGCTAGTGACCAATTGAAGTTACAGGCATATTCTGATTCTGATTGGGCTGCTTGTCCCAACTCCAGAAGGTCAGTTACAGGTTATATCACGCTGTTGGGTAATTCACCTATTTCCTAGAAGTCTAAGAAGCAGGGCACTACATCCAAGTCCTCATCAGAAGCTGAGTATAGGGCCATGGCATCTGCTTCTTCTGAAATTTGTTGGTTGGTTAGACTTTTACAGGAGTTGGGAGTGGATAACTTGTTGCCAATTGAGCTAAATTGTGATAATCAAGCTGCTATACACATAGCAAAGAACCCTGTGTTCCATGAGAGGAACAAACACATAGAAATTGACTGCCATTTAACCAGGGAAAAGGTGCTAGCTGGTTTAATTCAACTGTCTTATGTTCCAAGTCATGAGCAGTTAGCAGATTTGTTCACTAAGAATTTGCCTGTTCAGCAGCATATTAAGCTCAGTTCCAAGCTAGGTCTGATTGATTCTCAATCACCCACTAGCTTGAAAGGGGGTATTACAGATATATGATTCTCATCCTAGTCAGCTTAGCCACGTCATTCAGTTTGTTATAACAAACTTTTTGTAATAGCATCATATATTTAGTGCTTTTCTGTTTTGTTAGCTGACAATTAATGAGAATAATAATTGCCTCCTCCTAAATTCTTCTCTTTCTCTCTCTATATTTCTCTGTTTTTTCTTCCAGGAACTTCCGCCATTAATGGAAGTTTGAGCTTCTTCAAGCTGAAGCAGAAAGCTGGTTCCTAGCATATTTTAATAGTTTGGGCTGCAGTGGTGGTTTAAGGGTTGTTCAGGGGTGCTTATGGCTGCTGCTGGTAGACGGTGGTGGGGTGAATGCTGCTGGCTGACGGTGGTGGGGTTGCTGGTCGACGGTGATGAAGTGGGTGTTGTTGATGGTGGTGGGTAATTTATTAATTACCTTCTCTTTCTCTCTCCTACCTTGCTTATTAACTATTCTTTTATTCACTAATCCATTATTATGAAATTTTGTCTTAGAATCCGTGTCAAGGTGAAAGTTGCAACTAATATGTAACGGAGGTAGTAAAAGAAAATTGTGACGATACTATGATAAGTTATTACGAAGTATTAGATTGAGTCTTTTTCCCCATTTGCTTGTATAAAAGAAAGATAAGGTCGTAGTTTCTTTAGCTTATAGAAATCCATTCACGCTTTATTGTTTCTAGTTACTAAAGACCTACTTCCTCCGTTCTTTTTTATTTGACCTGCTTTGACTTTTACACTATTCACCACCTCTCCTTTGACCGTCTTTTGTGAATGATATGTAAGGGAAAATATATTCATATGATACATTTTTTAATTCGCCTCAATATGTACTATCGTATGATACAACTTTTATAATTTTTACTTATGAAGAGTTAAAGTTATTGATCGCTAAAATTTTGCGTTGACAAGCGTGATAAAAGAAACAGGTCAAATAAAAAAGAACAGAGGAAGTATGAAGTAATTAAATATTGTATTGGTGTCAGCAATTTTACGTATATTGACCGTTAAAATATCAATAGCGGTTTTATGCTGCTAAAGAAAATATAGTCATCATTAGTATGTGATTGGTATGTCTTAAAATAAAAATAAATTAATTAGGTTTTCCCCGAGTTTTTAGAGAGCCACGTAAGATTTAATTTTCTTAGCGAACCATGCAGGATTATAAATTTAAGTTGTAGCCAATTAAATGAAAGATTATTAATTTCTTTTACAATTAAATAATTCAAATACCACGTAAGCAATACTGACGAATGAGATTTTAAATAAAGTTTAAATTAATTAATTACAAAATATTATCTTTTGAAATTAGGAATTTTATCTAATATTTTAAAACTAATATAATAACAATTTTAATCACATAAATATGAAAAATATTTTTTATAAAAATACTAACAAACCGTGCATCGCACGGGCTTCATCTAGTGTTATGTATATGACTATACTATATGAAGCCCGTGCGATGCACGGTTTGCTTGAATTTTTTAAAAATAATTATATATATATATGCGCGCGCGCGCTAAAATTTGTTATATATTTAGATAAAAATTTGATATCAAAAGATAATATTTTATATTTAATTAATTTAATATGGGAAATCTCATTCGCCAATTTTGCTTACGTGTTATTTAAGTTATTTAATTCTAAAAGAAATTAATAATCTCGTATTTAATTGGCTACCTCTAAAATGTACTTCTTTCGTTTTTAAATACTTGCTCCACTTTCCTTTTCCGGCCGTTTTTAAATACTTGCTCCATTTCCTTTTTTGAAAAGTTTTTAAAATATTTAATTCATTTCTCATAGTTAGTGAACTCAACATAATACTCTATCTCCTCCTATTCTTTCACTACTTTTGCTTTTTACAATTTTTTTATTTTCTCAACTATCCCACTACCTCCATATTTTATTACTTTATTACTTTATCCATATTTTATCTTTCATGGCTAGGGATGGCAATCTAGTCCAGATCCGACCCTACTCCGCCCCGATCCGAGGTAAAATATTCGCCAAGAAAAAAGTAATCCGAGTTCGACTCCGTTAAAATAATCTGACTTCGAGTCGAAGGAGGGTCGGAGTCGGATCCTACAAAAAATCTGAGAAAAAAATCCGACTCCGACAAATATCCGACTTTAACGGATTATTCGACACCGACTCTAATAGATAGTGGATTTTTGTGTGGGTTATGGTGGCATTGGGTGTGGGTTGTAAAGACCCAAATAGCCCAACATCTTAAAGTATATTGAATAATGAAAAAAAAAACTTGGAGTCGGAGTCGGAGGTTGGATATTGAAGTCGGAGTCGGAGTCGGATTTAATCTCCGACTTCCTGTCGGGTCGGAGTCGGATTTAGCATAATCCGCTCCGAGTCCAACCCGTTGCCATCCCTATCATGACGTGTTGAAAAAATTAAATCCTACGTGCCTTTCTAAAAACTCGGGAAAAAACTCCCCTTTATATATATATTAAATGGTAAATCTAGATGTACCAAACAATAATATATGGAGTACAAAGTATTATGATATGTCATGTGTAGGAAATAGTTTTCAAACTAACATGGGCGGTTTGTTTAAAGCTTCCAGAAGGTTTGTAAATGTCATGGCTGGATCAAAAGTAAACTCAACGGTACGTCATGTATTGTCGAAAAAATCTCATGGAAGTGTTGGTGGTATGAAAATGAGTAGACCACGTTCAATTTAGGCTGAAAATCATACTTAACGTCTTTGTGATGTAGATTACCCAATTTTGGACGATACAGAAAGATGTGGTCGGTGTATCTTTTTTCTGACGTCTAATGGGTGTAAGGATAGCATACGTCTTTTTTTCTTTTCTTTTTTTTTTTTTGGTGATGGTAATTTGTAGGAAGTATTATACAATTATTTTATACCGTATTTTATTTTTGAATTTGTAGGTCAAACTCATTACTTCTTCCCTTTTTTTCTTTAAGTGTATTACTTTGACGCATAAGAATGTCTATATAGTTAATAAAGCATAAAAGTATTCGTAGAGAACTCGATATTAAGCAGAATCGAGAATTAAGTAGAGTTCTCTACGGATGCCAATTATGGGTGTGCTATTATATTATGTTATGTATTTATTAAATCATAATGATATTCGTAGAGTACGTGTTGTCTATACATTTATTGGATTCTTTTAAATCCAAAGATAACTCGTGAAAATTTCCTGTAAATTTTGAACAATCTACAAGTACTGATTGAGTAAAGTGTTCTTCTTAATTACCTAGCAAATTTATGTAGAAAGGATATAAAATATAAATAAACATGTTTAGAACATCAATATTACGGAGAAATATTTATAATACGGTAAGATATGGAATGCCCCTTCTATCACAGGAGAAGTGTTGGGGTGAGGAACTGAGGATTGAACCCCGGTCACACCGGGGGAAGATGGAGGGATGTTGATCCTCTACAAATGATATTTCATGGAGTGTGCCTAACACACACTACAAAGTTTCCTCCAATTTGGTAGGGCCACATATTGTTTATCTAAACTTGTATATATAGCGGTTAATTAAAGAGTTATATTTGTAATTTTGCAAAATTTATCCATGTTATACTCGTAATAGTCGTAATCGATCAAGAGAGCTAAAAGCTTAAAATTTAGCCCAAAGAGGAAGATTGACTATTTTCATTGTTTTATTAGGTAATATTGAAGGTTCAATTTCCTTTTTACAATACAATTAAATAAATATTCATCAAAGTAATAATAAATTTTACTATATAATTTAAGAGATAAAAATAGAAAGAAATTTGTATTTGTTTTCCCACGGTTTTCATCGTCTTCCTAGAAATTTCCTAGTGACCTTCGTTGTGGTTGCATACCTTGTAACGATTTCATCAATATTGGCTAACGTTTTGTACGTGTCTAGCTATGTCATTCATATCCTTCATTTCTCTTTGTATATATAAATACATGTATGTCTATCTAATCTAAACACAAGTCATAACAACTTGAAAAAAATACCATACATTATAATCTTCCTAGCATTCTCATAGATGTTTTGTGTCACCATGGCTTCTCTAAGCACATCCGACGTCCAACAAATGTTCAACTCCCTCGACCAAAACAAAGACGGCTTGTTAAGCCTAGACGAGCTTGTTTGGCTACTAGATAAGACCGGTGTACACGTTAGTGAAGACGAGCTTGCCTATTTGGTGGGTAAGGAAGGTTTGGACTTTGATGAGTTTTCTTACTTTTATGACATGATATTGTTGGGCAATAATAATGTTGGAAATGAGAAGAATGATGAAGTGAAGGAAGAAGAAATGGATAAAGATTTGTTTAAGGCATTTAAGGTGTTTGATTTGAATGGTGATGGACTTATTTCTCCTCAAGAGCTTCAAAGTGTGCTTTGGAAATTGGGAATGTGGGATAATTTAGATTGTGATAGAATTATGAGTAAATATGATGTTAATAGTGATGGTTTTGTAGATTTTAGTGAGTTTAAATCAATGATGCTTGCACATTGAACTTGTGTAACAATAATAATATGGGCTTAAAATGAAATCCATTTCATATCATTGTTTGGTATGAATTTGTGATTTGTTATCATTGAAGTCATTGGATTTTCCTGTCTTATTATGAAATATATACAATCTAGTTTAGGCTTGTTTCATTTAACTGATGTTGTTTCAATTGCTTAAATTAGTTATGTATATATTTGTTAAGATCATATATTGTGGAGTTCATAAGGATGGCAATAATAAACAATGGACGTTTTCTTTCTTAGCTGAAACTAAGCTGCTGAGAACAGGCGGAAGAAGAAATTGAAATGAATAAGTCAATATTGACCAAGCAATGATGACATGATCAGTTGGACATCATACAAAAAGAAAATCATACTACTTCCGCTAAGTGTTACGTGCAACTTTGAAATATTTTATATTACATAAATAATACCTCAAAATTGCGCATTAGAGGTAATATATTTCCTCCTTTTTTTAAAATAAGTTTATTAATACAAATACATATATATAATATAAATAAATAACGGCGAAAATATATTCTACAAAAGTCAAACTTTACTCCGCTGTAAAATAAATTGATAAATAGTTAAACTCTCCATTTTTCTTTTGACATACTCGTAGTTATAGGCCGACAGTTTTTTTTTTTTATACGGTAAGGAGAAGGACCCTATCGGATCAGAACTTTTCACAGGTCCAACCCGGCCCGGGTTAGCAAGCTAGACAATTTGGAAGTGGGGGGGAAGGGTAAGGGAATCCCCACCCCAAATTGCCTCTAGTGGAGTTTAATCCCACAACCTTTTAATTGTAAGGTGACAAACTTACCACTAGATCAAGCTTAGTTTGGTTTTATATGCCGATAGATGATGGAGCTTAGGATACGTCTTTTTGGATGTATACGGCTCCCTTGATTGTGGCAATTTGGCAAAGACAAGCAATTAACTACTCTCGTACAAGCAATAATATAATTACAAATTCGTGCACTACACTTCACTTGGTGCAATATTTGCCAAGGAAAGGAAGAGAAGAGAATGGACAGGGATTTTATTTTTTCTATACTTGGTTTAATCAGTGAAAGACAATGAAGATATAAATATTGATTGACAACTTAGAATTCTATAGTTTCTCTATAATTACAGTATTTTATTACAAATCTTTTTACTTAAGAATACAAAATTAAACCGTCAATTAAGGCTATGTTCACTTAACCTTATCTTTGTTGAATTGAAATTATTTTTGCTATACTGAAATTATTTTTAATAATTTTTTATTATATTTTTCCTAAAGTTATTGATTTGTATTGAACTAAAATTATTTTTACCAAATTAAATTTAATTTTAATGAAGTGAAATTGTTTTTACTAGGTATCTTTTATTAAGGTTAAAATGAATAGGGCCTAAGTCCAATTAACTACATGCTCATTCTTTTTTAAGTTTGGATAATTTCCAAGCAGAAGTAATGTGCTCTATCATGAACCACATCTTTAGTTCACCAAGTCCACCAAATGGTAGCCCCTTATTCCACAAGATATGTGGTCATCACAAATAAAGATAAATATATATATACTCCCTACTTTAATTTGTGTTTACAAAATTTTGATTCTCTATTCATGGGCACAAATTTAAGTGGTATGAAAATAAAAGGTTGTCTTACAAATGTGTTTAATCCACGTTATTTTAAGTTATTTAAACTTATTACTTCTGAAAGCTTATTTGAAATTATTAACTCTTATCTGAACATATTTTAGTAGGAAATTTGTTCATTTTTCAATGAATTGTAAACAAACGGAAAAAAAGGTAATAATAATAATAATAATAATAATAATAATAATAATAATAATAATTAATTAATTAATTAATTAAAAAAAAAAAAGCAAATTTCAAGATTGATTTCTTTTAGTTTTCTTAATGAGGCATATTATATTGTTAAGAATAGTATAGCCCAATTAGTATCTCCAGAGTAATGCCAAGTAGAATTACCTGTTCAACTACTGTTCGCCTTTTATTTATTTCAGGTTTAATAAGTTTAGATAAGTTCAGTTCAAGAAAAATAAATTCTGATAAGGGTTGTCCAAGTTTAAATTACAACTAAAATAAGTTTTAATAAAGTCTAATGAGTTAAGGTAAGTTCAAAAAAAAAGTTTAAATAAGTTCAAATTAGTAGAAATCATGTGAATAAAACACACCCTAAAAGACAACTTGGGGGTGAGGATTCTCTCCCACTCCCTCAAAAGACTTTATTGAGTTATTGCTCATGCTCATAATGGGGCTCAAACTTATAACCACAACTGTCATAAGGTAAATTCTCCAACAACATCTCCAATAAGCATAGTTGGCGACTGGTTATATGATAATATATAAACAATGAAGTTTCGTTTAAAATCCATGATATAAAAATAATAACATGTGCTAGAATATCATGTACCAGTATTAAGCTATAATAATATTAGTTGACATTTGCAAGACTGGCGTTCCATTTAATAAGCATTACCATAACTATAGGCACGAATGTATAAAATCAACACGTTTAGGGCACATACCTTTGAACAAATGATGTTTATTACGAGTATTGTTTATCTTGGTCAATCTATGCACTAAATTCCAAGGTAGTTCCAAGTAGTTAAGGAGCAATTTCCGTGAAAAAAAAAAAAAAGAAAAAAGCATAACCTTGACTTTTCACAATGCATGGACACATGTTTATCTATTAATGGTTCATGCAAGATTTAAAAGCATAACCTTGTCCGGTTGTAGATTTGTATGTACGACTTATAAAACATTTTAAGGAAAACCATTGTGATCAATAGGTTGACCAATTTTCTAAAAAAAAAAAAAAAAAAAAAAAAATGGTTGACCAATTGCTATAAATAAAATAAAAATCAGATTCAATGCACATGCATTTTTCATGTAATCAAAAAAACGTTGACATACTATTCAAGTTGGTCTTCGGTGTTGCATACATGTAACATGGTGTTATTGAAATGTTGATGAAATTTCTTTTTTAAGTGGCAAAATTAAGTATTTGTCAAAATTGACCCTTATTTTTTTCACTAATTAACAATGCGGCTAGTTTAGTTGATCAAGCTTTTAAGAGTGACATCTAACTTCACCGTGAAGTTTGCTCAAATCAACTGTTATATTTTTTTGTAATTTAAGGATCAAGTTTAAATTAATTTGTTCTTATTAATTATGTTCTATGCTTTGAATCGATTAATATGAGCTTGGACTCTTTTATGGATAGTTGAACATTACATAGAAGCACCGCAATTTTAATTAAAACTAACTTAAACTCATAATTCATAAAAATGCATAATTTTATTTTATTTATTTTTATCAAACATTTTGTATTTACAATTTTTTGTTTAGTAGCTAGAATGAGCACTATACAATTTTGTAAACTTAGTAATCTCTCAGTGTACTTTTCAGACCTAATTTTTAGCATTCACTAATCATTATGATTAGGTTATCCCCCTCTACAATCAAAGTTTATTTGCCCCGATAAGAACTAAGAAGAGCAATCTTAATCTCTAAATGGAATAAGAACTAAGAACTTGGTGAATGGAATAGATAGGGGCAAAGCCTTTTGCACCATTTATTAGTCTAAAACTAAATTGACGAAATGATTGCTACTTGTAGTTTACTACCACTTCTCATCCACAACTAGCTTCCTTGATCAAAGTTTTGAGGGGTGAAATCTAAAAATAAGTTGAACTAAAAAAGGCCTAAAAGGAGTATTAATTAGTATAATTTTGTCTTTTGATTAAACATTATAGTGATTTATTATTATTATTATTATTATTATTATTATTATTATTATTATTATTATTATTATTATTATTATTATTATTATTATTATTATTATTATTATTACTACTACTACTTCTTCTAGTGTATAATTCCATCACCATAATGTTTAATCAAAAGATAGAATTATACTACTTACTCCATTTAGGCCTTGTTTAATTCAACTTATTTTTACTTAGTTTAGAAAAAATAAAATCTGATTAGATCAGATAAAAAATATAAGTTCAAATCATATCATCAATTTATGTACAATTCGCTAAGTGTCTTTAATTTCATAATGAAAAAATTATGAAAATTGCATATTATTAAAATACACATTATTACAAATCTAACAAGATCTCACTTGATGGCCGTGTTTGGGGAAAAGCTGAAAGCTGAAACTAATTGTGTTAGCTGATTTTAACTAGCTGATTGTATTAACGGATTTGATTAAGTACTTATTTTATTAGCTTATTGTAGAAAAGTGTTTGGTAAATAGTTGTTGTTTAAAGCTGATTGATTATGCGAAATGACCAATAAGCTAATTGTGGAATATGTACTTCATATAGTTTTTTTTTAATTAAATGGGGGTTTAAATGTCATTTCACCATAAAAATTGAATAAGCTAATTGAAAAAACTCTTTAAAAGAGCATTTTGAAAAGGAAAAATTGCCCGCAATAATCTGACCTTTTGCCCATTCGCTGAAAATAATCCCACCTTTGGATTATTTTTAAATAATCCAACCCCCCGATCTTTTTTAATGGTCCCAACTGGTCAGTTAACTTGTTATAGCAAGTTACTTGACACGTGTTGGCACTCAATTAGCCCAAAAAAAATTTTAAAAAAAATTAAAATAACAATTAATTAGTTTTGGAAACCACCCACCAGCCAAACCATCTCCCTTGCCACCAATCTCGGCGCACCGACCGCCCCTGCCACCCCTTCCAGCGCGCCGACCGCCCCTGCCACCTTTCCCCTGAACCAGCGTCAAACCGCCTCCCCTGAACCACTACAAGAAAATAACCTTTTCGTAGCATTTATTTTAACCTTTAGTATCGATTGTAATTTCAACAAAAAGCTTTCCCAACGAATGGTCATTCGATAGAATATCCCCCGTTGCCTTAGCCTATAGTATTGGTTTTCAATATCGCTGGGGTTGGCCTCAATAATCGATACGAAAAACTACATCCAATCGTGGTGATTATTGTAGCGATTACAATCGCTATAATGTTTAACTCATTTTCTTCAAAAAAAAATTAAAATAAAAAAAAAATAGCGTGCGTATGATCTTTACAAGATTCGAACATGCAACC